ACCTTTTAGCACACTGGTACCCCTCTGGGTGCATGTCTCCCAATGGGGATCTGAAGACATTTCAAGGGAGATGTGAGATTGTAAGTTTTTCGTACTGAAAAAATCCCCACACCAATTCAGTTTAAACAAATGTCTATGATAAATGTTGTCATAAGAATTTCAGACTTCACAAGAAGAAAGTGAGCTCATTTTTAAACTATGAATTTAAGTCTTAAAAAGAGGCTTACAGGATGCTAAACGACACACAGAGGCAGATGAAGTGGTTTCAGAAGTCAAAAAGGGGATGTACATCAAAAACTATGGCAACCATTGTTTTAATGATTTAAATATTAAATTACCTTCAATGGCATTCCCCAACCACAACTTTCATATACCATTTCAGATCACTTACAACTGATTTCTTCTTTAGATTCTACATTTGCAAAGAACTCCAGGAAGTGTGAGGCCACCTTTTGCTGAGAGAAGACTGCCAGAAGCCATGTCAGAATGTGGGGGAGAGACTGCACTTCTCTTTCCAGTGGTAGGATGAAGCTGTGGGTCACAGTGCTACGTCACTGAGTCGCTTTAGCCAGACATGTTGTATTGAGGGAGCTGGGCCAAGCCACTCTCTGCATCAGCAACACCGGTAGAGTGGGATGTTACACTGTAAGGAAGCTAACAGAACAGACAACACAGAAAACAGTGTTGTCACAGCTTTCCTGGAAACACCACAGAGTCCACCAGTCTAGGCATATGGGCCAGGAACAGGGCCCACATTAAGCACAGAGGAAGTGGATTCCCCCCCACCCGGCTTTTACCCTGCCCATATACAGTGGTGCCTCGCTTAACGATTACCTCGTTAAATGACGAATCTGCTTGACAATGAGGTTTTTGCAATCGCTATAGCGGTTGCAAAATGATGTTTTAATGGGAGAAAATCGCTTTGCGATGATCTGTTCCCTGCTTTGGGAACTGATTTTTGGCTTAACAATGGTTTAAAAACCGCTGATCATTGGCTCTCAAAATGGCCGCCCGCTGCGCAAAATGGCTCCCTGCTGTTTTTAGGATGGATTTTTCGCAAGACAGGCACCGGAAAATGGCCACCCTATGGAGGATCTTCGCTGGATGATTAGGTATTTAGCCCATTGGAACGCATTGAGCGGTTTTCAATGTGTTTCAATGGAAATTTTCCCCCCTGCTTGACAACGATTTCGCTCTACAGTGATTTCACTGGAACAGATTAGCGTTGTCAAGCGAGGCACCACTGTAGATCCATTCATAATGACAAAGGCATGTCCCCAACATATTCCCTGTATCACAAGGCACGTAACAGACAAAGTGATATCACTGTGCTCTCAATCCATGTCCACAGAGACAATAGTGCATGCGCTTTTTAATTTGACTGACATCTCCTTTGTGTTGTGACTAGGAAGGAGGACTCAATCCAGAGTTCAAGAAACTCCTGTCTCAACTGAATCATCTCAGTCAGGGGTACCAGCTGAACCTGGCAAACAATCTGTTCATACAAAAAGGATATGAATTTTTTCAGGTAAGTGCTGTTGTCAAATTTAAAAGTATAACATTCAAACAATGACCTCAAGGCACTATAAAACTTTATAACACTCCTTAGTAGTTTGAGTCAGCAGTGGTCCCTCACAGCTGACATTTATCTTGTAAATCGTTAATCCTAGTGTGAACCAGATAAACTTTTCAAATCATATCCTAATTCATCAAGGTGCAAGTATTTCATTGCTGGAATGATTCTACGCAACAACTTGCCTATTTCTACAAGCTTTATTCATCTATGTTGCTTTGATGCACAAAAATCCAAGAGTTACTGAAAATATGTAACTCTTTTGAGAAGGCACAGGGATGTTACTTTAAAAACCATTCTTGCAGCTGAACAAAGCTGTAGGTACATCCATCCTTGGAACTTGTGAAAAGCTCCAGGTATAATTGCCATCAAAAATCCTTACAAAGATGAAAAGTTGAAAACAAGAAATAGCCCAAAAGTAAAACTTAACTGTAGGCAGAACATGTTAAAAATCTATTTCTGTTACAAGCTTTTAGCTATACAGTGGTGGCTCAACTTACGAAAATCCGTTCTGGAAGATGATTGTAACTCGAAATGGTTGTAAGTCAAAGCACCATTTCCCACTGAAATGCAATTAATCCATTCCAGCCGAAGAAAAAAATCACCAACCCCCCCATCAAACCCACACTGCAAGACTGATCAGAAACACGATTAATCCATTCTGGCCGAAGGGGGGGGGAAGCAAGCCAAGCATGCAAGACACATCAGAAATGGGGGAAAAGCAAAACAGAAAGCAAGCGAAGCATGCAAGACCCATTGGAAATTGAATTGAATTGGGGGCCTTGCCCTGGCCTGGCTCCGTTCCTTCTTGGTGGAGAGTACAGCTTGGGGAGAGCATCTCGGCCCCGTGGAGTCTCAGTTGCGGGGTTCCACAGGGATCGATTATCTCCCCAATGCTGTTTAACATCTATATGAGGCCGCTGGGAGGAGTCATCCGGGGGTGTGGAGCTCGGTGTCATCAGTACGCTGATGATACTCAGATCTACATCTCCTTTCCATCTACAGCAGGAGATGCCGTTCTGTCCCTTCAGCGCTGCCTGGGGACCGTACTGCAGTGGATGCAGGAGAACGGGCTGAGGCTGAACCCGGACAAGACGGAGGTACTAAGGGTGGGTGTCCCCACAGTGTGGGGGGGTGTTGGGGAAACTCCCTAACTTTTGGGGGGTGACCCTCCCTGCCCTGGACCCGGCACTCACTATGGAATCCCAGGTGGCGTCTGTGGTCCGAACCGCCTTCTACCATCTTAGGCGGATAGCCCAGCTGCGGCCTTATCTCGATGTGGGGGCCCTCACCACCTTGGTACATGCGCTCGTAATCTCAATATTAGACCACTGTAATGTGCTCTACTTGGGGCTGCCTTTGAGGCTGCTGCGGAAACTTCAGGTGGTGCAGAATGCTGCGGCCAGACTTCTCAGTGGTGTGAAAAAATACCAACACATTTCACCCACTCTGGCCACATTGCATTGGCTGCCCATCCGATTCCGCATCGACTTCAAAATGTTGATGCTCACGTATAAAGCCCTAAACGGTTTAGGGGCTCGATACTTGGCGGAACGCCTACTTCCACCAAGATCTACCTGTGTCACTCGCGCGAGCCAGGAGGGGAGGCTGAGGAGCCTAACGCCGAGGGAGGCCCGGAAGGAAAAGACAAGAAATCAGGTCTTCTCGGCGGTGGCGCCTCGCCTCTGGAATAACCTTCCCCCTGATATTCGTGCGGTTCCCTCGCTGGGTATTTTTAAAAAACAACTAAAAACACTGATGTTTTGGTAGGCCTTCCCCTCAGCCAATTCCTGATTTCCACTCTCTCTCCTTTTCCTAATTTCTGTCCCATCTTGTCCAAAGTTTTTCCCCTTATATAAAATTGTTTTTAATTATATTGTTATATTTTGTTGTAAGCCGCCTAGAGTGGTCTTAATCGACTAGATAGGCGGGATATAAATAAAATAAATAATAAATAATTGGAAATGGGGAAAAATACCAAAAAGCAAACAACCCCCCAAGACCCATTGGAAAAGGGGGGAAAATACCAAAAAACAAACCCCCAAAGACCCATCACAGCATAGAAACATAATCCACCACCCAGCCCAAAACCACGCTGCAAAACCCACCCAGAACAGTTTTTAAAAAGCAGAAAGCAGCACCTTACCTTACCAGGCAGTCCGAAGCCTCCTCTGTTCGCACACTCTCTAACCGCTGGGGCGAAAGAAGCAGCCTCTTTGCCTACCAACAGTTAGCAATTTTAATCCCCCGCCTTTTCCCCCTGCCTTTTTTTGATCACAACTCAAAGCTCTGGCTGCAAGTTGAAGCAAATTTTTGCGGCCGGAGCTGGTCGTAACTCGAAATGGTTGTATGTTGGGATGTTCATAAGTCGAGGCACCACTGTAGAAGTTACAGACATGAATTTAAACCACATTTTAGTTAAACACATGCACACATACACCTCACACAAAACAGGAGCTTATAGCCAGAAAAGGCACAATCAAGAAGGAGAGTACAGCTCTAAAATGCATCATTAAAAAGTGAAAAACATTACAGCTTTGAGCAATTTTTAGCCTTTAGCGTATTCAGACATACATGAAAACTATGTTTTCTCACCCAAGCCATTGCCATTTGTCAGTCCACATCTACAGTATGTAGGGAAATCCATGTTCTCTGTGTGTTGCCTTTGTGCTGTTATGTCTACTGCCTGCTTCTTACTTCTTGGGATCTAATGCCTGGTGCCTGGTATCTCTTTGTGTGTGTAGCATGTGGTTTGTCTTTCATTTCCATAAATTTAGAATTCTTTCAATTGTTTACACTTCCCTTCAACTATCAACAATTGAGCTTGCCCGTATAGCAAACCACTATCCCGTATAGTTCAGCTTATAAAGTTTCTATAAGAATTTACATTGACTTTGTCAACTCAGCAAACTGCCATTGTGGCAAGAGATTGTTGATATTTTGACTCGCTCCCTTGCACTTTTGAGGCCAGTGACATGTCAGGAGGCCAAACTGCTGGTGACTGAATATGGGAAGATACCAATTTGTTGTGCCTGCATTTTAGTATTTCAATTTTGTGCTTTTCTTATCTTTTGTTTATACTTCCACACTCAAGTGTTCACTTGAGAGGAAAGGTTGCTTCCCCAGTGATGTTCTGGATGGAGACAAGGGTTTCCAGGGCAGCAACGTCTCAATTTCTTGGCCTGAACCTGAGAACAGGCAATGGACTCCTGTGATGTTGGGGCAGGCAAAGTTTAGAAGGAGGTCCCTCACTAGTTTTGTGCTACTGTTGTCTGGCTCTATACAACAAGAAGTATTGTGAGACAAGATCCTGGTGCTCTATTCCTTCCCTTGTTCCATATGGCACATCTGGTGCAATATTGACATGGCAGAAAGTAAGGGAGTAAGGGAAGGGGCAGGAGGAAAATGACATTTATCTTGTAAATCATTAATCCCAGTGTGAATCAGATAAACTTTTCAAATCATACAGTATCCTAATTCATCAAGGTGCAAGTATTTCAAGAAGTCTTGTGAGACAAGATGCTGGTGCTCTATTCCTTGCCTTGTTCCATATGGCATATCTGGTCCAATATTGACATGGCAGAAAGTAAGGGAGTAAGGGAAGGGGCAGGAGGAAAGAGCCAGTATGTGCATGTACTTGGTGCCATTGTGTCATTTGGAGTAGCATATATTGTTGTTTGTTGTTCAGTCGTTAAGTAGTGTCCAACTCTTCATGACCCCATGGACCAGAGCACGCCAGGCCCTCCTGTCTTCCACTGCTTCCCGGAGTTTGGTCAGATTCATGTTGGTAGCTTTGATGACACTGTTCAGCCATCTCATCCTCTGTCATCCCCTTCTCTTCTTGCCATCACACTTTCCTAACATCAAGGTCTTTTCCAGGAAGAT